TTTCATCTTGTGAACAAGTATCAATGAAAGACAAACTTCGTATAATCTTCAGGTGGGTGTGTGTCATTTCAAATTCAGTTTATCCCAATAAATGTTGTAATATTTTCATTTCCATGTAAATCTAATAAATTTGTTTTTTGATACAACATCATTCGCATCTGACATCAGACTGGTGAATTTGATTTTATCAATTTTCTATAGCGCTACCTGATTATCTCTCAGAAGTATATAATGTTTAGAAATTTCGGACAGCGCATATTTCGGATAAACGTTTCAATATGATTATCAGTGTGTTTTAGTTGAATATATTTTCTTCCAACTGAAAATATTATTTATTTATAATTATTATCTTTATAAAGCACAAACAGTCAAGCTGTATATAACCAATTAAAATTGTCATAAAATTCAATGAAATATTTTGCTCCTGTATTTAGACTGAGGACAGTGGTGAGATGAAAGACGTGAACTGGTATCCGATGTTAATACACATGCATGCTCTGCTGTAAAATCGTTTTGGTAAGAAATATATACTTAAAGCTACTTAAACTACAATAATGAAAAATAAATATTATTGTATTACATATAATGTTCTCGTTTTTGTAAATAATTACAGTGTAGCTAAATAAACAAACAGTATGGCATATGTAGTTAATTCATGTTAAATACTGTTTAAAGTATTTTTCTCAAGTGAGTGGGTCATATTTTTTAGTTAAACTAGGACACCAAGAAGTGTTTCTTCCTTTTCAACATTATTTTCTATTCATGACAATATGAAAATGCTTGAAATTTATAGCTGACCAATTATTATTGCTTTCAACTCATGATAAATTTTCTTTAAATACAGGTATGTGATTTCTTGGTTGGATCTTGAGTACTTGTCATGGCTCTTGATTTATTTTGGAGTGTTCACCATCAGATTAGAAGTCAAATAGTGATACCACCAGGCATAGTTGAAAGGAAATGTCCATACACAGTCTTGGAGTACATAGTGGTAGAGACATGGCAGTCCATTACAGATTTTGACTGAATTAAAGCTTCTTAAAGCTCCATGTCTTGTGTAAACTGTCTGACTGAATGTTTGTATTCTAATAAAAACTAAGGTTGAAGACACTTCAAAGATATATGTCAGTGTAGAAATGTTATTTAAACAAAATATCTGTCTTTGTTAGAAATAAATAACCTGTCTTTATTAGAAATAATTAACCTGTCATTTGTAACTTTGTATTAACTTAATTATTCAAAGATAATTTATCTTCTGCAAATGGCTGCCCAAAACAGTTTCAACCAGGCATCATGTAGTTTCAAAACAGTTAAGATAAATTTGTTATAAATAGACTTGTAAAGTAACAGGAATGGTAAAAAGATAAATGTTCAGCATTAAAATGTTTCTATCTTGATTGAGCTTCATTTCATATTATCACCATAATCACTGCAATTGTAAAAGTAATGTAATCTTTAACCATTATTTAAATATCATAAAAATCATCTCAAAGAAAAACTTGTTTCTGAGGCAAGATGTGTAAAATTCCTTCCAGTTATAGCCTTTCACTGCTCTTAGAAAAGCCATGCTTTGCATTGTACATGGCAGGTAGTAATACCAGAGTAAACAATATTAATGCAATTCATCTGTGTTGAGTATTCTGTAGCAAAACACTAGCTTGCTAGCCCTTGTAAGCCCAAGTCTCTCTCTTAATTGGAGAAGACTTGCAATTCTGCATTCCTTGAAGATTTTAGTATCAGAGGGGTAGTTATTACATACCATATACTTCTTTGGGTTTCAAATTACCTGTTTTATAATGTATTGAACCTGTTGACATTTGACCAAAAGTGAATTATCTATACAATACATGCAAAACTTAGGGTTTGCACTTGATACAAAACAATTACATCACTGATACATTAATATACCCATTGGAACTGTTTCAAAATTGTCAATGTTTCAAAAAAACAACAAAAAAAACACCACACAATGCTTTTAACTTCTGTCCATGTACATATGTGTAAATGTAGTCATTGAAGAGCTGTCAAGAACTTTTCATCAATATTATTTAGATAGTGTCTGTTTCGATTTCAGGACAGACAAAATTCAAATGACATGTATAGTATTTAATATAGTCAATGCTTGCATATTCAAACAATCTAGCCATTGCTGTTAGAGAATTAAAGTACACAGTGACACTTATTTTGCAGATGAACTCTTATGATCAAGCACTGCTATAAATATATGCCAAATAGTAGAAACAAAAAACAGTTCATAAGTTTAATAAACTTTTATTTTTACACAATTTATAGTGCACTGCTTAGCATATATATCCCACTGATTTTCCAGTGGAAGAAAAACTTCAGGAAAGCACTTGGAATTATTATTAGTTATTTGGACAATGTAACTTTACACTGTGAATGTCTACTGATACAAGAATAAGAATATTTCCTTTTACAAATGTAAAGACTTTGAAAAATAACATGAACAAATTATCATAGAGTTATAAATCATATTCTAATTGAAAAATGTTCAGCTTGATATCAAAGCTTTGTATGCAAATTTGTGAGCTTATCAATGATTACCTCACAATATTAGTAGTAGATGATATATAATATTTTTGCTAATCTTTACTTCATAGTCATTTAATGTCCATAATGTCATATGACTATACTGTGATTCCATGAAAAACCTTATCTCTGGTGTGTTATCAGCTTTGGTATATATAGAGTATCTAGTTTTAATACTTAAAACTGCAATGAAATGTGGATATTTTACTCTGTTTCTATCATTGTGACATTAACATGTTAACAAGATCATAGTGTCAAACACCATAAAATCATACTCTTTATACATTAAGATTTTTGTGCTGGATGTCATTCATCTTCTTCAGGAAAGTACATTTGACTATTCTCAGTGGCTTATATTAAACTAATATTTCACTGTAACTGTGTGTTCTCTGATATCATTCTCAAATTAAGGAACTGGAAGATGGTAGTTGCAATAAAGGTCTTCATGGACAAATCCTCCTTCATCTTTTCCCTTTTTATCTGCAGAATGAAAAATCAATAAATATGTTGTTACAAGTGTAAGACACTAGAAATTATATTTTCATTACAAAAAAATTTCATATTTGAAGTAAATAAACATTAAAGATAAACAACAACACATAATATATATAAGTAAAAAATATTGATCTTCTTGAATGTGAAACATGACTATTTTTAATGTTTTATTTACTTATCAATTATCATGCAGTGAAATCCAAGTTATTAATATAGTTTGATAATTGTTTATCTTTCCAATCTCAACTAAAAATTAATCAATTATTTTTAATATTTTACATGTATTTACCTTTGATGTATAGATATTTCAGGATCATAGGCAGTGCAAACAGTTGATTAATGGTCCATATTGAACAACTGTATATTCTATACTTGTCATATACCTCCTTGTCTATACATCTGAAATGGTTTAATCAAATATTATATTTTTTAAATCAATCATAATTTGCTAGGTACCATATTAACATGTATATATAATTGAAAAAGGAACAAGAATAAAATGGAAGGGAAAAAATATCCGAATTACTGTGCAATGTCCGAATTTTGTATAACTTTAATATACACTAGAATTAAAGTGTTTCTCCATTGTTTATTTCAACAAGTTAAAATGGTTTGAATTAATTTCTCACATCAGTAGTTTTAAATCAATACTAAAAGCTAAACAACTAGAATTCACTACCTTGACAAAACATCCGAAACAATTGTCACTATCCGAAAATAAACTAGTTTTATTAAACTCTATAAATCCCTCGTTTTTCCGTCAGATAATTGACCTACCTGCATTTTTTGACCCGTGCTATCCATTCCTTCAAATCTGAAGAGGACCGAAACAAATTTAACTTCTATATCCCTCGAGTTATTCGGGTTACCTATATGCGTAACGGTAAATAAGTCTGCCGATGTACCCGGAAGTGGTAAATCGAAAGTGAAAGTAAACGAGACTTACGGGCCCTATAACAAACGTCAATCAAGCGTGACTCTGGTGAAAAGATATTCAAATGAGCTAAAAGGCAGTTTATTTTTTTATTTGTTTTTATTTGTTTGGGTCGTCAGACCAAACAAATAATAGTAGCGAAATTTCAGACTCTAATGCTGTTAATTGCAAGTGCCGAAAGTAGTCCGCTTTTTTGAAACGGTTACTTCCCTTTATATGTAACACTTAGGCCGAAAAATTTAGGGGAGATCACTGCGTAAATATGGTCACATGACAGGCGGATTATTTTTCAAGCAAAATAATTCCCGAATGGTCGAAGATTTCTAATATTGTTTTATTCTTTATAAATATAGATGCTTATAGTAAGCGCAATGTTATTTACACAAGTGTTAAACAACAGTTAGCGTCGTTTCAAACCCTAAATAGATTAATATGGTTTTCTTCAGGCCGTTAACATATAAATGCACCGTGGCCGAGGGGTTAGCGCGCTCGCTTAGGAAGCGAGAGGTCTGTTGTTCAAATCCGAATTACGACAACTCATATTTTTTTTTTCAAATTGTTTAAGTCAAATAAACATTGGATCGAATATCAGTGTTGCAATAAGTCTTATAGCCAATCTACTATAATTAAAACGCTGGAAAGCATTGGTGTCACTATACAAAAACAAATTGTTTTATTATCTCACAACCTTCACCTTTCTGACATTCTGAGACCCAAACAAATTCAGCGCCTTTTGTGCTTTGATTAGTTAAGAGTATCGCGAAAATTTGTTAATTACCTATTTTAAAGTAACAAAAGCAATCAGTGATTACCATTTGGTGTCTGATGATAGCGTATTTAGAAATGATTAGACAGCAAAAAGAATCGTTAAACTCAAAACTCGTTAAATATGTATAAGTACTTGAGGAAGCGATCAATCCTGTACCATTTCATCCTTTTTGTGTTGGTAGTATAAGAGAAGAAGTCCGGACATACTTTAAAGCTAAAGCTCATTAAAGGGTCATAACTCTGACGAAAGTCATTGAACTGGAAAATGCTGATGATTTACACCACTTTACTTGGCACTGATCATTCTTGTATTGTTTGGATGAAATTGCATCAGTAGATTTTGAGGAATAGTCCGGAGAATTTGTGTGACGGACGAACAGATGAACGTGCAAACATTTTGGTTAATTTGCTATTTCTTGATCTTTATGTAGCACTTGTCTTTACATAAACCAGTAAATATACCTCATTAACCAACTGGTTTATTTGATTTCCTTCTTTTTTAAACTACAATTATGGAAGGAATGAACTAAAAGTTAAAACGTGTTCATTTCTTTATGGCGTTTGATAGTAGATATAAATTATATATGCAAATCTGTTGCCAGCATGATATACACACATTAAGCTGCTCACGGTGTCTCTTTGCGCTCTTTTCCTGAATTAAATGGGAACTTGTTCTCAATAACACGAGATCTTCTATGATAGTCACTCTTTAATGGTCTTTGAATACTTGCATGTTATTTGCAATGTTAGGGAACATTCACATTTCTAACAACATCATTGGAAGTTTATCAGATCTGTCTTTTTAATTTAGTTTTCATCAAAGTAGCATTTTCCGACGTGATAAACAATATATTCATCAAGTATTTCTACTTTGAAAATTCTGATTTTTAATGTTTCATTTAAATTACTACTGTCAATCAGTATAACTTACATGTATATAATTTATTAATTTAAATTTGTAAGCAACTTTTATGAATTATTAATTGAGTTAGGACAGAATGTCGTTTAATAACATATAATTGAGTTATGCAAGCTCGATATCATAATTTCATATTTACATAATTTGGAACATAAGTCAACGTTGTGACTATTTATTTAATCAAATTTAAAGGTGATAAGTATCATCATTTAATAACAAACAGTTGAGGTCAAAGAAAAATAAACTAAACTTATCACGAACTTTTTTCTTTCAATTTCAGCTTACACTTTTGGGAGTTAAACATTGCACGTTAAAATACCCTATCAATCAGGAATATCTTTTTACACAAAACCCTAAAGCCCATTGGGAAAGTAGCGAAAAATCGTTTTTGTTAAACATATCAAACACAATGTAGCACTGTTTCTTCTATCTCTACGAATAAAAAAAACAGGAAGGAAATTTTTCAATAAGAAAAAAAATATTATTTTCAATAAGAGACATGTACATGTAACATTGCTTTTTACGTTTTTGTAATGGGTCTTAATTAGGTTATATATAATATAAGTACATTTAATTTATTAAAGGAAGCCAAAATTAAAAAGATATAAATAACAAAATTCAAAGAAAAGAGTTTTCCATAATAACATTTCGTAAATTAAAAACTTTAGTGGTCTATTTTAAAGATGTAAATCTATATAGAAATTTTGCTATATTTATTTGTAGCAAATAAGGGACAAAACGAACAGTTAGCTATATGGAACATACTTTAAGCCGACACCGACAAAAACTTACACCTTTTTAAACTATAAGAACCAGGTAATAGTCGCATTCTGTACAAAAACAAGCTAGTTCCACTTAGATTAAGAAATGGTACGTTTTATATAGATGATGTTGAAATAGCAACAATGTGATTCATAGAACAATTTTTTATTCTGCTCTTTTCTATCCTTATTCTAGGTTTCAGCTGTTTGCCTGCATGGGTACTGTCTTTAAATTAGTTTTAAAACCGTCATTTCTTCTAGATGTTTTCTCAGTATACAAGCAAGCTACTTTGATCATTTTGATTGAAGTATTTTAGATCAAAGTTAAAACATTTATCTGACATGATTTTTAATAAACACGTATAATTTACTAAAATAATCAAACGGTTTTATTTTGATGTTTATAAAAGCATCGAAAGGGGTTGTACTTTGTCAATGTGGCATTAGGTAATGAGTTTATTCCAATCAACGTGCAAACCACACGAGAATTATAATTTCACACTGCTAAT